TCTCTCTTTTTTCTTTCTTTCTTCCTTCCTTTTTTTTTTTTTTTTTTGTCAGTCATGGGGCTTAAACTCAGGGCCTGGTGCTGTCCTTGAGCTCTTTTGCTCAACTCTAGCACTCTACCACTTTGAACCACAGCTCCACTTACAGTTTTTGAGTGGTTAATTGGAGAATCCCCTGGGAACTTTACTGCCGGGGCTGGCTTTGAACTTTGATCCTCACATCTCAGCCTCCAGAGTAGCTAGGCTCACTGGCTTGAGCCACCAGCACCTGGCTTTAACCACAGCTCTTAACTGTCAAGGGAGGGAGGTGCAATGCTGGCCACAAGGCTTGTATCTTAGAGGTCAGGATATTGAAATGAGTATGCAAATTAGAGCAAAACTGGTTTTTCCACTGCAGAGGCAGGGGGAGGGAAACCTCCACCAGACCTGAAGGGAAGGAAGGGATTTCATCCGCCTATAATTTACAGAGCTGTAAAATAGCTCAAAGAAGGGAAAGGCTAGAATTCAACAACCCAGAGGGTGTGTAGGGTGGTTACCTCCTAGCTTTCTGGGAGGTTTGTGAGAGGGTTGTTTGCAAAAGGCTTAGATGCTGGGGGGGGGGTGACTCTACAGCTCCACCTAATCTTCACCCTCCCTCAAAGAAAGCCTGAGTCACTCACCGGATGCCTGGCCCCTTCTAGACGAATTGGGGAAATGACAGCTAGGCCTGTGGTCTAAACTCAGCATTTTAAAGAGGAAGAGCTGAACACATCAAAAAATATCCGCCCCCCCCCCCCCATCATATTTGCTTATCTGTGTTACACTGTACTGGGTCCTTAGAAACTAAACAGCCTTTGCTAAAGAGCACTGGGGAGCTGGGTGCCATTAGCTCATGCCTGCAATCCTAGCTACTCAGGAGGCTGAGATCTGAAGATCACGGTTCAAAGCCAGCCTGGCAGGAAAGCCTGTGAGACTTTTTTTTTTTTTTTTTAGTCAGTTATGAGGCCTGAACTCTGGGCCTGGGCGCTGTCCCTCAGCTCTTCAGCTGAAGGCTAGTGCTCTACCACTTGAGCATCAGCCCCATTTCCGGCTTTTTCTGCTTATGTGGTGCTGAGGAATCGAACCCAGGGCCAAGGCAAGCGCTCTACCACTGAGCCACCTTCCTAGCCTCCAATGAGACTCTTATCTCTCATTAATCACCAGAAAACCAGAAGCGGTGCTGTGGCTCAAGTGGTAGAGCACTCGCCTTGTGTTGAGGAGCTCAGGGAAAGCGCCCGGGCTCAGAGTTCAGGCCCCAGGACGAAGAAAAATTAATTAAATAATTAATTCTTTTTTTTTTTTTTTTTTAAAGCACTGGGGCCTGGCACCAGTTGCTCATGCCTGTAATCCTAGCTATTCAGGAGACAGATTTGAAGATCAAGTTTGAAGGCAGCCTAGGCAAGAAGGTCCATGAGACTCATCTCCAGTTAACCACCAGAAAACTGGAAGTGGTGCTATTGCTCAAGGTAGTAGGCGCTAGCCTTGCACACAAAAGCTCAGACAGAACCCAGTCCCTTTTCTTCCCTTTCTTTCTTTTCTGCCAGTACTGGGGCTTGAACTCGGCCTTGTGCTCTTGCCTGGCTCTTTCATTCAAAGCTAGTGCTCTATCACTTGAGCCACAGCTCCACTTCCAGGTTTTCGCAGGTTATTTGGACATAAGGGTCTTGTGGACTCTTCTGCCCAGCTGGCTTTGAACCAAGATCTTCAGATCTCAGCCTCCTGAGTAACTAGGAATACAGGCGTGAGCCACAAGCATCCAGCACTGGGTCCTTTCTTAGGGATATTAATTACTAACTGGAAGAGGAGAAACGCTTGGCATTTTGGCCTCCATTTTGCATCCATTTAAAAGTCCTAGTTACCATTTGGTGGGTTTTGGAACCTTCTAGAACACAGATGTTTCTGAAATGTGTCTGTGAAGGAGACCTCAAGATTTCTCTGGATATGCTTTGCTCCTCTCTGCTGTACAGCGTGGCGCAGATGCTCACCTCGAAGATGAGCAACCTCCCACCCCCCAGCTTCTGTGCTGGTACTGAGGCTGGAACTCAGAGCTTTGCACTCTTTCTTGGCTTTTTCAAGCAAGGCTGGCACTGTACCATTTGCACCACACCTTCATGTGTGGCTTTCTGCTGATTGGAGATGAGTCTCTTAGACCTCAGATCTCAGCCTCCTGGATAGGATTATAGGCATGAGCTACAGGATCCAGCCATAGCTGCCTGTTGAGTTGAGAATGTCAGGGCCCAGGCTTTCTAGGCTGGTTATTCTGTCCCCATCAGCCCAGCCTCCTCCCCTCACCATTCCCTTCTGTTCCTCATTCACCCCTCCACCGTTTGTATTAGTGGCAAGGTAGAGTTGGTACACGGCACCTCCAAACACTAGGGTTTAGTCTTGGGTAGACGGGCAACACCCCCTGCTGGCCTTTCTCCCAGTTCCCACTCTGGCTCTGCACCCCAGCAGCAGCTCAGGGCTGTCAGGTGAGCCCCTCCCAGGTGGGAGTCGGGGCAGGTGAGGCGACCATTCACAGCCGCAGCGCTCCTTCTCCAATTATGCAGTTTGTTTTCTCAGCCTCGTTTCAACAGGGGCCGATGTGGGGCAGGTCCAGGGATGCCGGTTAACCAGGGCCGGCACAGCAGGCAGGTCCGGGATGACCACTGCCAACCTGTGTGCGGAAGAGCATGGGAGAGGGGTGAGAACCTCAGCAACGGCCTGGGCTCTGTTCTCTGGTCCATGCTGCCCCCTGGTGGCTGCGCAGCAACCTGCCTTTAGGGAGTCCCAAGGTTGGGGCCAGAACTGGCAAGGTTGGCTGACAGTGGGACCTGGCCTTCAGGACCCCAGGGAGGGGGAGGCCCACCCCCTCAGGGCTCCTGCAGCAGCCACAATTTATTGGCTTCCCCATACAAGCACCTATTTTAGTTTGTGTGCACAGATAATTTGTTTTGGTGTGCTGGGCATGGAACACGGGACTTCCACATGCCAAATGCACTCTATTGCTGAGCTGTACCCTCACACCAGACTTTATATATATTAATATTTATATGATACAACATATAATACTTTGTCAGTCATAGGACTTGAACTCAGGGTCCAGGCAGTCCCCGAGCTGTTTCACTCAAGGCTCGTGCTCTGTCCCTTTGAGCCACAGCTCCGCTTCCTGTTTTCTGGTGGTTAGAGGTAAGTCTCACAGACTTTCCTGCTCGGGCTGGCTTTGAACTGTGATCTTCAGATCTCAGCCTTTCTGACTAGGATTACAGGCCTGAGCCACCAGCATCTGGCTCTGTTTTGTTTTTGTGCCAGTCCTGGAGCTTGAACTCAGGGCTATTCCTGACCCTCAGGCTTCGGGGGATCCTCATGGTTCTGTGCTGTGTCTGCCCTTGCTGAGCAGGCACTGGTAACCTGGATTTGTTGGCTGCTGGGCACTGAGTGGACCCATGAGGAGGGGGAGAAAGGAGTCAGGCCTGCCATCCATGACGGAACAATGCTGGGCACAGGAATGGATGCATCCCTTGTGATTTGCTGAGCTGAACCCCAATGAAGGAAGAAAAGGGGTGGGTACTTCCGACACTTGACTCACAGCCAGCAGATAACACTTTTCCAGGGCTACAATCAAAGCCCAGCATTCAGATGGGTGCTGGGGCTCACGCCCATAATCCTAGCTACTTAGGAGGCTGAGATCTGAGGACATTGGTTTTCAGCCTTCATGAGACTCTTATCTCCAATTAACCACCAATAAGCTGGAAGTGGACCTGTGGCTCAAATGGTAGAGTGCCAGCCTTGAGTGAAGAGCTCAGGGTCAGTGGTCAGGCCTTGAACTTAAGCCCTATAAAAGCCAGCATTCATCTGGTTAAAACCAAGACAACAGATACGTCTCAGTGACACCTTTATTTTTATGTGTAAGAAGGAAAAGCCTAACTCATACACAGCACATGTCTGGATCTATTGTTTAGCACGAAGCCAAACTGAAAATGAGCAAAGAAAGTAGCAGGCAGATATCCAGGAAGCGCGCGCGCAGGCAGGCAGAGCTGTGGATGGTGGCGGTAAAGGCAGAAGCCAGCGGCTCTGAGCTCAGGGCAGGAAGTGGGGCTGTCTGGGATTGACGGGACGCTGCAGAAATCCTGGGCTTCCACAGGAACACAGATGGGGCAGCTCACAGAGAGAGGAATGCACAGGGTGCTTATTCTATGAGATGTCAGAAACTATAAAGCAAAAGTGGTTTGCCTTGGAAGGAGAACCTTCTAGACATGGCCTTGTGGAGCTATGGTTACAGGGGGCATCTGGGGTCACAGCTGTCGAGAGTCACCCTAGGGTGTCTATGTCTACAGACACTCCATGCAGCCACCGGCAGGGGAAGTGGGGAGGGGGGAAAGCTGATACCTGAGTGGGTATCTGTGGACTGCCCCCCCCCAGGCCCATCCTCATCTGCAAGGTGTTCAGGACACACCCTGCAGGGGTGCAAAGCCTGTGGCCACATCACCACGAGGTCCCATTCTTATAACATTGAAAATCAAAGGGGGATGTTTCAAAGAAAAGGAAAATTAAAAGAAAAAAGGTCTCTCCCAAATCCAAAGACTATATTCCTTATTAAAATCTTCAATTTTCAGGGCTGGGAAGGTGGCTCAGTGGTAGAGCACTTACCTTGCATGCCTAAGGCCCTGGGTTCAATTCCTCAGCACCACATAAGCAAAAAGCAAAAAGCCGGAAGTGGCGCTGTGGCTCAAGTGGTAGAGCGTTAGTCTTGAGCTGAAGAGCTGAGGGACAGCGCCCAGGCCCAGAGTTCAGGTCCCACAACCAGACCCAAACAAAACAAAAAACTTCAATTTTCAAAACAAAAACACCTTTCCTCCTTCACTTTTGGTCCATATTAGGATTTGAACTCAAGTGCTTTGTGCTTTTGTGGCAGATGCTCTACCACTTGAATCATACCTCTAGTCTCACATTTTGCTGGTTAATTTGGAGATGCTGTTTCAAGGACTTTTCTGCCTTGGCTGGCTTCAAACTATGATCCTCCAGATCTTAGCTGCTTGAGTAGCTAGGATTCCAGGTGTGAGTCACTGGTAGCCCCTGGCCTTTTTACAAGATGGTGGTGTTTCCCCTCAAGTTGCTCAGACCTGCTGACCACACGCATCTCAGCACACTGTACTGGATGATGTCAGTGCTAGGGATACTAGGTGCTAATCTTGAGACTTGTGGGGGGGGGAGGCCCTCTCCCCCTTCCCCTCCCCCCATGGGTTAGAGCCATCTACTAGAAGGCCTGAAAGGCCTCCAGGAATGAACGATGCTTCTAGCAAGCAAGGAGGAGGAACTGAAAGTGTGGGGGACTGGTATTAGCACCCCAGGGTGGGAGGGGCTCAGTCCCCCTGCATAATAGACACACCGGGCTGAACTGCCCACTGTCCACAGGAAGGCTCAGGAAGAAAGTGTGCAAGAATAGATGAGGAAGAGAAACAAAGTCAGGGCAGGGCTGGGCGGCTCAGCAGCAGCTCGCCGCACTCCGCTTCACGTGGCACGGCTTGCAGAAGAGATGGTCATTCAGCGGGTAGCAGCCTTGGTCAGTGGGCTCTACGGACAGGAGAACACTGCAGTCCTGGGGAAATAAAGGCACATGTCACATGCAAATGTCCTGGGGTCTGGGCACTGCCAGCACAAAGCCGACCCAGGGGAGAGACTTCATTAAGCCTTCCCTGCAGGGCAGCAGTTCAGCTTCTCATTCTGGACCTCCTGGGCCAGGTCTGCCCTGGAGAAGGCCAGAAACATAGGATTTTACTTCACAGGAGGGGTGAGTGGCTGACATGGTAGTCTGGCTGTGGGGAGGCCGAGGATCCTCAAAAAGGCAATGTGAAGGTCCCAGGAGGCTGAGGTCCCAGGGTGTAATCAACAGCCTTTTTAGGATGTGCAGTGTGAGGCAGGTCCTCCTGGGACTCCAGCTTGGCACTGCACAGGCTCCCAACCAATGTCTGTGGAATGTATCTCCTGGTTAGCCCTGTTCCTCACTTGGCAGGTGGGGAAACTGAGGCCTGAGAAGGGTGGGGTTTTCCTCAGGCCTCACAGCAAGTTCTAGAGTAGGCTGGTGGCCAGACTGAGTTGAAGGGTCTCTCTCTCTCTGTGTCAGTCCTGGGGCTTGAACTCAGGGCCTGGGCACTGTCCTGGGGCTTGAACTCAGGGCCTGGACACTGTTCCTTGAGCCTCTTTTGCTGAAGGCTAGCCCTCTACCACTTGAGCCACAGTGCCACTTCTGCTTTTTCTGTATCTGTGGTGCTGAGGAATCGAACCCAGGGCTTCATCCATGCTAGGCAAGCGCTCTACCACAAAGCCACATTCCCAGCCCTGGAGGGGGATTTTTTGTTATTTCCCAGGTCACATATCCATAAGACCAGCAAAATCATGAACCATGGACTTCAGGAGGAGGAGGAGAGGGGTTCGGGCCTAAACTGCCAACACAACTTCACCATTTACCCCTGGCGCACATCTCATCCGAGCCTCACCCATCATGCCTCATCCTTCATGCTTCGGGTGAGGAATGAAAGATTCATGCGCAGAGACCGGATTCTGGGCTCAGCTGGCACCCTTGGGAGCTGCGGTGACATCAGAGTCTTGTCTCCACAGAGATGACTTTGAGGTCACTGGTGTTGGTCGTGAACCAGCAGGAGCCAGGGGCCACAGCCTGGTTTCTCAGTGGCCACTTGGAAAGGGCGCCCTCATGTGGCTCCTCTCTGCAACTCCACCCTAGCCGTTTGGGGAAACTAAGTCCTGTATCTGGGTCATTCACAATGGGTCACTTGTTTATCATTCTGAGAGGATCAAGTGACAAACCTGAAGTTCCAAAGAGGTGCATGTGACCTTTTTTCTAAATTAGAACAGAGAGGGAGAAACAAAGTGCCTGCTAAATCATCGAGGTCTGAGAAGAGCTGCGGAGTGGCAGACAGCCACTGGACAGGCCTGGCAAAAATGATCCTTGTTTTCCCCAACATAAATGGGAATAATGAATACCTTCAGAGCCGGGCACTGGTGGCTAACACCTGTAATCCTAGCTACTCAGGAGGCTGAGATCTGAGGATCACGGTTCAAAGCCAGCCCTGGCAGGAAAGCCTGTGAGACTCTTATCTCCAATAAACTTCAGAAAACTGGAAGTGGCGCTGTGGCTCAAAGCATTCGCTAAAGAGCTGAGGGACAGCACCTAAGCCCAGAGTTCAAGCCCCATGACCAAAAAAAAAAAAACCTAGCTAGGCATCAGTAACTCACGCCTGTAATCCTAGCTTCCCAGGAGCTGAAGATCACGGTTCAAAGACAGCCTGGGCAAGAAAGTCCATAAGACTCTTTTTTTTTTTTGTTTTTTTTTGTTGGTCGTGGGGCTTAAACTCTGGGCCTGGGCGCTGTCCCTCAGCTCTTCAGCTCAAGGCGAGCGCTCTACCACTTGAGCTACAGCGCCACTTCCAGTTTTCTGGTGGTTTATTGGAGATAGGAGTCTCATGGTCTCTCCTGCCCGGGCTGGCTTTGAACCGCGATCCTCAGATCTCAGCCTCCTAAGTAGCTAGGATTACAGGCGTGAGCCACCAGCGCCCGGCCATAAGACTCTTTATCTCCAATTAACCACCAGAAAACCAGAAGTGGCACTGTGGCTCAAGTGGTAGAGTGCTCACCTTGAGCTGAAGAGCTAAGGGATAGTGCCCAGGCCCAGAGCTCAAGCCCCATGACCAAAAAAAATCTGGAAGTGGAGGTGTGGCTCAAGTGGTACAGTACCAGCCTTAAGTGAAAAAGCTAAGGGACACTGCCCAAGCCCTGAGTTCAAGCCCTAGCACTAGCAGAAAACAAAAAACACCAAAATGACATAGATGCAAGAATGTTATATAAATAAAAAAGTACCACCCATGTAATAAATGCTACTCTTTCAGTAATAGATATTATGAGCCACAAAGTCAACAAAAATGGAGAGCCAGGGCCCGTGGGCAATGCCTGGAAATCACTTCCCTCCCTAAAAAGCTGCCCACACTGGACACTGCTCACACCTGTAATGGTAGTTATTCAGGAGTCTGATATCTGGAGGATCAAAGTTCAAAGCCACCTGAGCAAAAAAAGTCTAAAAGAGTCCATCTCCAAAATAAACAGCAAAAAGCCAGGCTGGAGGTATGACTCAAGTGGTAGAATGCCAGCTCAACAAGTTAAAGGCCTGCAGTTCAAACTGTACTCAGGTATAGTCAAAGAAGAAGAAAAATTGGCTGGGCTTGTAATTCTAGCTTCTTAGGAGGCTAAGATCTGAAGAGTGTGGTCTGAAGCAAGCCTGGGCAGGAAAGTTCCTGAGACTCTCATTTCCTATAAACTACTCAGAAAAATCCAGAAGTAGTGCTGTGGCTCAAATGGTAGAGTGCTAGCCTTGAGCACAAAGAAGCTTAGGGACAGCGCCCAAGCCAGAGTTTAAGCCCCAGGATCAGCCAAAAAACCAAAAAAAGCCAAAAAAACAGACAAGCAAAAATACCCCCCAAAACAAAAAAAACTAAAGGCCAGTGCCCAGGCCCCAAGTTCAAGCTCTAGTACCACCATAAAAAAAAAAGAAAAGAAAAAAAAGGAAGCCGGACATTGGTGGCTCATGCTTGTAATCCTAGCTACTCAGGAGGCTGAGCTCTGATGTTCACAGCTCAAAGCCAGCCAGGGCAGGAAAGACTGTGAGACTCATCTCCAATAAACCACCAGAAAACCAGAATTGGTGCTGTAACTTAATTGGTAGAGCTTTAGCCTTGAGCTGAGGAGCTGAGGAACAGCCACTCAGGCCCAGAGTTCAAGGCCCACAACTGACAGGAAAAAAAGGAAGAAGAAGAGGAGGAAGAAGAGGAGGAGGAGGAAAGGAAGAGGGGAAGGAGGAAGAGGAGGAGGAGGAGGAGGAGGAGGAGGAGGAGGAGGAAGGGGAGGAGGAGGAGGAAGGGGAGGAGGAGGAGGAAGGGGAGGAGGAGGAGGAGGTGGCGGCAGCATTTCCTCAACCAAGTTGCAAGCCCCACCTTCTGAAGTGTAAGCACCAGAGTGCAAGTCCTGCCTTGCCTCGCAGCCTCTGCTGGTCAAGGTCACATAGGACAAGCAGGGGTCGGGGGATGAGGGGTGTTGGGTATTTGCTTCCCCAGCCAGGCTCACAAGATTGCTAATCACACTGGACTTCATAGGGCAACAGCAGGGATACTGGCAGTGACTTTGGTCACTGGTCTTCCAAGAAGCAGCAGCAGCTGGACTTTGATCTTAAACAGCCAGGTGGGCAGCTGCATATCTCCTTCTCTCCCAGCCTGCCCCCACCCCCCATGCCCCAGAAACTCCCTTCTGGTCCCACACACCTGTTTCAAGAAGAGCAAACGCATACTCAGAATTATTCCTTGGTAAGTTGTGAGACCTGCCCTGAGACACCTCAGTTAGGGACACCCATGAAAACCGCCCCTTTCTCCAGGCACCAGAGAAGCCTCAGTGCTAAGGGGCTGGCAGGGGAAGAAGGGGAGGAGGGATTCTTGGCACTCCCAGGCAGGGCTTGCTACACTGCTTTTGGGGTGCAGGCCATGGGGAAATCAAGGCTCTGTGCTCAGATTTGGAGTGTCCAGGTATCCACAGACTGGCTTTTATTTTCTTTTTGTGGTCGGTCATGGGACTTGAACTCTGGGCCTGGGCGCTGTCCCTCAGCTCTTCAGCTCAAGGCTAGTGCTCTACCACTTGAACCACAGCACCACTTCCGATTTTCTGGTGGTTAACTGGAGATCAGAGTCTCATGGACTTTCCTGCCCAGGTTGGCTTTGAACCTTGATCCTCAGATCTCAGCCTCCTGAGTAGCTAGGATATGTGTGAGCCACTGCGCCCAGCTCAGAGCAGCTTTTAAAGCTTCTTTTTCTTTTTTTAAACTTGGGACTTTCTGCTTGCTCAATTGATACTGCAGTAACTGAGCTCCTAGCTCAGGCCCTTTGGTCCTAGTTTTTTGCTGGTTAATTGGAGATATGCATTTTGTAGATTTGTCTTTATGGGCTTTCTTTAAACTTTGATGCTCAGGTTTCAGTCTCCTGAATAGCTAGGGGAGTCTGGCTGTCTTCAGGGGTGTCTAAACCCAAGCCCTTGCCCCAGAGAATGCTAGCCCATAGGCAGAAAAAATGAAGCAAGAAACAGAAAAGGCAAAGCCAGACAGGTAGTTGTATGCCAGTGGCTCACTCCCATAATCCTACTCAGGAGGCCGAGATTTGAGGATGTTCAAGTTTTGAAGTCAGCCTGCCCAGAAACTCCAAGAAAGTAAACGTCAAACTAGCAAGACACCCAGTTGGAAGCCTGGCTCAAGTGGCTGAATACCAGCTGAGCAAGCATGAGACCCTGAGTTCAAACCAGGTACTAGCAAAAGGAGAAAAAAGGCAGGACCAGAAGATGGAAAGACAGCCTCGATACTATTTACTATCCTGAACACTGTCACCAAGAACCAATACATTCCCTTCATGCAGGAATGCATTTGGTTTTCATATGAACACAAAATTCTGACTGATGGGCTAGCTCTGTAACTACTTTTGTTTTTGTTTTGTCGGTCACAAGGCTTGAACTCTGGGCCTGGGTGCTGTCCTTGTGCTCTTCAGCTCAAGGCGAGCACTCTATTGCCTAAGCCACAGCGCCACTTCTGGTTTTCTAGTGGTTTATTGGAGATAAGAGTCTCACGGACCTTCATGCCTGGGCTGGCTTTGAACTGTGATCCTCAGATCTCAGCCTCCTCAGTAGCTAGGAGTACAGGCGTGAGCCACTGGCGCCCAGTTTGTAACTACTTTCATTGTGTGTGTGTGTGTGTGTGTGTGTGTGTGTGTGTGTGTGTGTGTGTGTGTGTGTGTGTGTGTGTGTGTGTGTGTGTGTGTGTGTGTATACACCAGTTCTGCGGGCTTGAACTCAGGACCTGCGCACTGTCCTTGAGCTTTTTCATTTAAGGCTGGCACTCTATCATTTGAGCCACAGCTCTACTTCCAGCTTTTTGCTTATTAACTACAAAGTGTCATGAACTTTCTTATCCTGGCTTGTTTTCGAACTGTGATCCTCAGATCTCAGTCTCCCGAGCAGCAAGGATTGTAGGTGTGAGCACCAACCCCAGCCTTGTTTTCACCCTTTTTGTCCTCGCCAGGACTGCGGTGCCAGCCTGCGCAGACCAGGCAGCCACTGCGGGACATCCCTGATGCTACTCACCTCACACCTGTAGCAGTTCTCATGGAAATTTTTTCCCATGCACTCAATTTTGAAGGAGTCCTTCCCATCCCGAGGGATGATGGGATTTTCACAGATGCTGCACATGGGGGCGAATTTCCTAGAGAGAAAAATAAAACCCACACTCGCTTGAGAGGCATTCACAATGATGAGCGCGGAAACAAGCTGGCAGAACTGAGGTGGCTGGAGTCACCTCCCAGCGCTATTCTGGGCCAGTGTGACCTGCCTGCCCCTGTGCCGCACATCTGACTCCCTGGTGGGACAGAGGGGGGACCTGAGTGAGCAGCCCTGCTGCAGGGTGCTGGAGGCAGAGGTGACAGTGGGGGGAGGGGAGGGGGAGGGCTGGAACTGAAGGGCTGCTAGGCTGGGACTCTCACTTTTTTCTTTTGGTACCAGTACTGGGACTTGAACTCAGGGCCTGGGTACTGTCCCTTAGCTTTTTTTTTTCTCAAGGCCATTGCTTTACCACTTGAGCCATAACTCCATTTCTGGTTTTTTGCTAGTTAACTGAAGATGAGAATCTCACAGACTCTTCTGCATAGGCTGGCTTCAAACCTGCATCCTCAGATCTCAGCCTACTGAGGACCTAGGATTACAGCTGTCTGTGTGTGTGTTGTGTTGTGTGTTGTGTGTGTATGTTTGTATCAGTACTGGTCTTAAACTTGGCCTGGGCATTGTCTCTGAGCTTTTGTGTTCAAAATTAGTGCTTTACCCCTTGACCCATACTTCCATTTCTGGCTTTTGGCTGGTTAACTGGAGCTATGAATCTCATGGACTTTCCTGCATAGGCTGGCTTTGACCCAGTCTCCTGAGTAGCTTGCATTACAGGCATGAGCACCTGTGTCCAGCAGTAGTCTTTTCAGCACATCCATCTGACTGCAGAATGCTGAGCATCTGACATGGCGCAGGAGCTCAGTCATTCACTACCAGCAGGTGAGCAGAGCAGGAAATGCTTCTAGAGTCCACAGGTTGCAGGGCACTCTTGGCTCTGGAGCTTGGCCCTGGTTTCTGCCCTGTCACCCCCTCCCCTCCCCTGCCCGTGCCCCTTCTACCTGTAGAAGTCGTCCAGGCAGTACACCTGGTTCTGGCTGTCCAGGGCGAAGCTCTCGTCCCCGATGCACCGGGCGCAGGTAACGCAGGTGAAGCAGCGGGGGTGGAAGACCTGGCTCAGGGCCCTGATGACGTGGTCACGGACCACCTCGCCACACTTGCCGCACTTCTCCAGAGTGTCCTGGGACAGAGGGCCCTTGCCTCAGAGCTGACACACAGCCAAGCACACCCCAGCCATGAGAGGCCCTGTCTTGGCCCAGAGCAGGAACCTTGAGGCAGCTACTGGATTCTTACTGCCATCTGTTGGAGGTTAGGGCCCCGCAGAAACTTCCTTTAAATCTCCAAGCCAAGAGGGCTGGAAGGTGGCTCTGTGGTAGAGTGCTTGCCTAGCATGCATGAAGCCCTGGGTTCGATTCCTCAGTACCATATACACAGAAAAAAGCCAGAAGTGGCCCTGTGGCTCAAGTGGTAGAGTGCCAGCCTTGAGCAAAAGAAACTCAGGGACAGTGCCCAGGCCCTGAGTTCAAGACCCAGGACTGGCAAAAAAAAAAAAAAAAAAAAAATATCTCAGAGCGAAATCCAGGTGAGGTGGCTCATAACTGAAATCCTCCCTACGTAGAGGCAGAGATCCGAGAACTGTGCCAATGGCTCCCACCCCTGGAACAGTGAGCTCAAACAACCCTTCTTTTCCTCCTAAGTTAGTGCCGGAAGGCTGACCACCTTCGGCAGCCACAGGAAGGGAATCCCCGGCTAAGCTCTCTCCTTTCTGAATCTGCACTTCCCCATCGGCGGCATTCTGGGTCAACTGTGGGGGAGCCCTGTGAGGAAGGAAATAACGTACCATCTCCCACGCGCCCGTCTCAATACCTGGCACCCGAGACCTGGCCATGGGGGAGTACCTGGTAGCAGGCTTCGCAGAGAGGCCGCCCCTCCTTCTGGTAGAAGCTCTGTCCGGCCAGCTGGCAGCGGCAGGTGCGGCAGGTGAAGCACTGGGCGTGGTACTGCCTCTTCATGGCCTCCACGGCCAGCTCTCGAGGGGACACAGGCTTGTGGCAGAAGCCGCAGACATCTAGGGTAGAGGAGACACAGACATCAGCAGCTCAGCCCAAGAGGACTGTACACCATCACCACCCAGATTTATCTAGAGCTCAGCCTCCAATTCCAGGAGTTTCCTAACCTCACAAACAAGGGGTCATGATGGGCACTGGGAAGGAATGGGACTAAATTAGGCCAGACAGGGTGACTCAAACCTGTAATCCCAGCTAGTCCAGAGCAAACCCAGCAAAAATCAGATCAAAAGAAGAAGATGCAGTCTTGGGGTGATTTGTCAATCTCAAAGGTAGCATTTTCAATTCATCAAGATCTAAATGGGACATAAAACTGTAAGATCAAGATATAATACTACGAGAATAGAGGAATGTGCCAGATGCAGTAGGGCACACCTGTAATACCAGTGCTAGGGAGGCTGAGGCAGGAGGATTTTGACTTCAAGGTCAGCCTGGGCTACATAACTAAACTGTTTCCAAAAAAAAACAAAAACAAAAAAAAAGAACAAAAAATATCAGAAAAAACTAGGAAATTATTGACAATTTTGGAGGCGGTCTATGTCGCAAAATCCAGTAGCCTGAAAAGGACTGAAATATTTGACCACATAAAGATCAGATTCTCAGCCAGACACTGGTGGCTCAGGCCTGTAATCTCAGGAAGCTAATATCTGAGAATTGTGGTTTGAAACCAGTCCAGGCAAGAAAGTCCATGAGACTCTAATCTCCAATTTACCACCAAAAAGCTAGAAGCAGAGCTGTGGTTCAAATGGTAGCATGCCAGCCTCGAGCAAAAATGAGAAGTAAGAGCTTGAGGCAGTGGATTCAAACCCCAGTACTGGCATACACAAATTCATTTTGCTTCTATAGCAACTATATGGTTGTTTAAATCGACTATCATTAAAAAAATTAAAAAAAAAAAGAAAAGCAGGTCAAGGCAATAAACTGACGTAGTGTACAGATCACCCGCAAGGTAAGCTGGGCAAGGCACAGGGGTCGGCTCCCACGGGAAGCCCAGGCCAGCCCCTGGGGCCCAGGCTAGCCCTGTGCCCTTACCTGTCGATGCCTCTCTCTCTGGAGGGCTGACGGGGTCTTCTGGGGGTGGTGGCAGCTCCTCCTCCGAGGGCTTGAGGTGGCTAGGCTGAGGCTGGACCGATGGACCCTTTGCCGGAGCCTGTGGGGACACGGAGGAGTCACACAGATGGGACCCTGTGAGGACCTCCCTGCTTGTGGGGAAGCCACCCTACAGACAGGAGGTAGATGCCCAGTGAGCACTCAGCCGGGTGGTTACCATGGCAGCAGAGCCCACCCTCCCCCTCTGCCCTGCCCTATCAGCCAAAGCTCTGCCTCCTGGATTGGCAATTTAGCTTCTGAGGCTGCAGTGGACTATGCAGCCCTTGGCCTGGGGCAGAGGATTAAGACCGGGTTCTAGCGGCACACTGGACCAGGTCTTCCTTGGGGTGAGGAGGGTGCCTGAGGGACAAAAGGGGGCCAGCCCTTTCCAGGCACCTTGAGAAACTCAAACAATTTTTACCAGTGTGTCTAGCGACACCGAAGAGGTGTTTTGTTTTTTTTTCTGTTTTTGTTTTTTTTCCAGTACTGGGAGTTGGGACTCAAGGCTTGGTGCTCTAGACAGGAATTCTTGCCCCTGAGCCATGCCCGACCCTTTTTGCTTTAGTTATTTTTCAGAGAGGGCCTTCACTTTTCTCCCCTAAGATCTAATCTATCAAGATTCCTCCTACCTCTCCAGAACAGCTGTGATTACAGGCTTTTACCACTAAGCCCAGCCTGGCAGAGCTCTGAGGAGGGACTGTCTTCAAGGAGAAGAATTGACTCCTGACACAGGGGTCCAGGAGTTGGGGAGGCTGGCAGTACCTGTGGCGGAGGCGGGGGTGGGGGCAGGTGCAGCTGCTCCAAGTCTGAAATGAGTGAGGCCCCCGCTGGGGCAGGGGGCTCGTCTTCAGGAGGCAGGAACGCTGGAGGGGGTGGAGGTGGAGGAGGGAGGAGGTCGAGGTCTGCCAGTGACTCCTCACCATCCAGGGTGGGAGGGGGCAGTGAGCACCCTGTAACAGAAAGAGAGTGTTGCAGAGTCTCTGCAGAGGCAGAGAGGAATCTCACTACACAGAAGGCTCATAAGCAGTGTCTAGAGCTCAGGTTTGAGGGCCCCACACCTCTGGTCTTATCTGGCTCTGATAGGAACTCCCTGAGGGTCCCCACACAGAGCCAGCATCTCTCAGTTGGAAAGTACTACTTCCCCCTAGTGGCTGTAGGGAGAATGGCAGGAGATGAGGTGTCTGAAGTGAGTGACTTAGCCGGCAGTTGTTGCCTCCTGGTCAGCCTCCACATCAGCCGGCTCCGCTGGGAGCCAGGCCCAGCGGCTAGAGAACCTGTGTGTGGGGAAGGGGACACAGGCACGGCTAGCCCCTAAGGCAGTGGTTTAAAGCTGCATTTTCTGGCTGGCTGCATGGATGTCACCAGATGTCCTCTGGGCTGGACAAGATGGCACACACCTGTAACCTAGCTACTCAGGACGCTGAGATCTGAGGATCAAAGTGTGAAACCAGCCTAGGCAGGAAAGTCCACAAAACTCTTAACCTCCAGTTAATCAGCAAGAAGCTGGAAATGGAGCTAAGTGTTTACTTCAGTGGTAGAGTGCCAGCCTTGAGTGAAAAGCTCAAGGACAATGCCCATCCAGGACCAGGAGGGGAGGGAGGAGATGGGGAGAAGCATGGTAGCACATGCCTGAAGGGAGACTGAGAACCATGAGTTTGAGGCCAGCCAGAGCCATTTAGTGACTTCGAGGCCAGCCTGAGAAAGTGAGAACCCTGTCTAAAAATCAAAGGAGACAAGGCACAGACAAAGCAAGTATGCTGAACACTGACAACCGGTGGACCTAATGTCCCCACTCGGGGGTTCTGGCTCTACTCTCCACGTCTGTGTGCACGTGAAGGTTTCCTAAATGCACACACACACATGCATGCATACATGCCCACACATACACGCACATGCACAAAATGACTGCATTATCAGCTCAGCTCCACAGCCACTCCCAGGAGCTGAGGCTGAGTGAGCAGGGCAGGGCAGGGCCCTGGATCCCCAGTGCTGGTCTGTCACCACAGACTTCTGGGCTCCCATGCAACTTCCTCTCCTGGGATCCCCCCTCCCCTTCCATGCACAGGAGGAAGCTGGACATGAGCTGGACAGCCTGAAACCTCTTGTGTCCACTGTGGGTACAGGGTGAGCACCGTGGCCCAGACAGAAAGGGACACAGGGACTCCACCTACTGTCATAGGGGTACAAGGGAAATCAGGCCCCAGTGAAAGCCTGCCCAACACATCCATGGAAAAAAAAAAGCCCAAAGACTGGGTGGTAACCCCATTCCCAGCTAAGTTCCTGGGGCACCTTTCTGGGTTTCCACTTCTCAACTGCAGGGCAATGTCTCTGGCCCCACCCAAGGGCTGAAAGGACTGCACAGGCCAGGAAGGAATTCTAGACTACAGTCCAGTGACAAAGAAAGAAAGAAGCACTAAAGCCAGACACCGCCAGTGGCTCTCACACCTGTAATCCTAGCCACTAAGAAGGCTGACTAGGGCTGGGAAGGTGGCTCAGTGTGTAGAGCGCTTGCCTTGCATGCATGAGGCCCTGGGTTCGATTCCTCAGCACCACATAAGCAGAAGAAAAAAAAAGCCGGAAGTGGTGCTGTGGCTCAAGTGGTAGAGTGCTAGCCTAGAGCAAAAAGTAGCTCAGGGACAGTGCCTAGGCCCTGAGTTCAAGGCCCAGGCAAAAACAAAAACAACAAACAAACAAAAAACTCAGGAGCCTGGCTCCAGTGGCTCATGCTACTGTAATCCTAGCTACTCAGGAGGCTGAGAGCTGAGGATTGAGGTTCAAAGCCAGCCTAGGCAGGAATGTCCTGAGACTCTTATCTCCGATTAACCACCTGAAAACCGAAAGTGGTGCTGTGACTCAAGAGGTAGACCACTAGCCTTGAGCTGAAGAGCTGAGGGACAGCGCCCAGGCCCAGAGTTCAGGCCCCACGAGCTACAAGAACAACAAAAAATCAGCAGGGGCCCTTGTTCCAACCCCCAGAGCTCAGCTCCACCCAGTTTCTGATTTACCAGGCCTGGGGCCAGCCCTGAGAAGCTGAATTTCAGGTAATTTGCGATGCTGGCTGAGGGCCACAGTTCTAACCCAAAGTCTCACCTGAGATCTCTGGACTGGAAACAGTAACTCTCTACCTCAATAAATATCCAGTGTCAACAAAATGGGGCAGAGCTGGACACAGGAAGTTTTTTTTTTATTGTTGTTGTTTTTGTCCGTTCCTGGGGCTTGAACTCAGGGCCTAGGCCCTGTTCCCAAGCTTTTTCACTCAAGGCTACTACTTCTGGTTTTCTGGTGGTTAAAGTGGAGATAAGAGTCCCATGGACTTTCTTGCCTGGGCTGTCTTCTAACTGCAATCCTCAGATCTCAGCCTCCTGAGTAGCTAGGATTATAAGCATGAGCTACTGGTACCTGACCACAGAAAGCTTTTTTTTCTTTTAAAGACAAAGCCTCATTAAGTAACACAGGCTGGTCTTGAACCAACTTTCCTTCCTTCCTGCTGGTACTGGGTTTGAACTCAGGGCCTCATATTTGCTTGGAATTGTTCTTTGCCACTTGAATCATACCTCCAGTCCAGATTTTTGCTGGTTATTTTGGAGATGGAGTCTCAAGGGCTTTTCTGTCTAGACTAGCCTCAAACTGTGGACCTCCCAAGTGGCTAGGATTAAGGTGTGAGCCACAGGTGACTGGCTTGGCCTCCAACTTCCCATTCTCCTGCACCAGCCCGTGGATGGTGGGGTTGTATGTGTTCTCCACACATACATGCTTTTATGGCACAAGAGGGTAGTAACAGTTGACAATAATTAATCACATATTTCAAAATAGCTCACCTAGAGGACTCTGAATGTCCCCAACACAGAAATATGACCAGGTTTTGAGGCACAGGTGTGCCATTTGCCCCAACCTGCTCATTACACGCAGCACACATTGTACCCAGAAATGTGTACAATTATTATGGGTCAATTTTTGTGTGTGTGGTGCTGGGGGATCAAACCCAGAGCCTTGTGCAAACTAAGCCAGAATATAACCAGTGAACCACATCCCTAGCCATCACAGTCCAAGGGTGTACTAGGCAGGGTGCATGCAGCTCAAGAACACAGTAAGGCCCCAGGTTCTATCCTAGCACTAGAAAGCTTGGTCCATGACAGTAGTTTTCAGCTACTCAAGAGGCTGAAGCAGGAGGAGCCTGCTTGAGCCAGGAGCTTGTGGGGACTGCAAAACACAGCGAGACTCTATCTCAAAAACAAATAGCTGGGCTGGTGCTGGTGGCTCACACCTGTAACTCTAACTACTCAGGAGGCTGAGATCTGAGAATTGCAGTTCAAAGCCAGTCCAGGCAAGAAAGTCCATGAAACTCATCTCCTATTAACCACTAGAAAACTAGAAGTGCGCTGAGGCTCAAAGTGGTAGAGCATTAGCCTTGAGCAAAATAGCTCAGAGACAGCACTCAGGCCCTGAGTTCAAGACCCACAACCAACTAAATAGCTGAGTGCCAATGACTCACACCTGTAATCCTAGCTACTCAAGAGGTTGAGATTTGAATCTAGCCCAGCAGGAAAGTTCTGCAGGATTTTTTTTTGGGGGGTCCAGTGGTAGGACCTGAACTTTGGGTCTGGGCACTGTTCCTCAGCTCTTCAGCTCAAGGCTAGCGCTCTACCACTTGAGCCACAGTGTCACTTCTGGCTTTTTTCTTTTTGCTTATGTGGTGCTGAGGAATTGAACCCAGGGCCTCATGCATGCAAGGCAAGCGCTCTACCACTGAGCCACCTTCCCAGCCCAAATTTTTTTTTTTGGGTCGGTCGTGGGGCTTGAACTCTGGGCCTGGGTGCTATCCCTCAGCTCTTCAGCTCAAGGCTAGCGCTCTACCACTTGAGCCACAGCAACACTTCCGGCTTTCTGAGTGGTTTTTTGGAGATAAACAGTCTCACAGACTTTCCTGCCTGGGCTGGCTTTGAACCGTGATCCTCAGATCTCAGCCTCCTGAGTAGCTAGGATTACAGGTGTGAGCACAGGTGACCAGAATTTGTGAGAATCTTATCTCCAATTAAACAACAACAACTATAACAAAAAGCCAAAAGTGGAGTTGTGGCTCAACTGGTAGAGCTCTAGCATTGATTAAAAAAAAAAAAAATCCAGGTACAAATGAATGGCTCAAGCCTATAATCCTACCTACTTAGGAGGCTAAGATCTGAGAATCCAGGCTTGAAGCCCAAGCAGGAAAGTCCCTGTGAGACTCTTATCTCCAATTAGCCACTCAAAAATTGGAAGTGGAGCCGGGCGCTGGTGGCTCACGCCTGTAATCCTAGCTACTCAGGAGGCTGAGATCTGAGGATCGAGGTTCAAAGCCAGCCCAGGCAAGAAAGACCGTGAGACTCCTACCTCCAATAAACCACCACAAAACCGGAAGTGCGCTGTAGCTCAAGTGGTAGAGTGCTCGCCTTGAGCTGAAGAGCTGAGGGACAGCGCCCAGGCCCAGAGTTCAAGCCCCACGACCGACAAAAAAAAAAAAAAAATTGGAAGTGGAGCTGTGGCTCAAGTGGTAGAGTGCCAGCCTTGAGCACAAAGCTGCCCAGGTCCTGAGCTCAAGCCCCACAACTGAAAAAAAGAAAAAAAAAGAAAAAAGCTCAGGGACAGCATCCAGGCCCTGAATCTAAGCTCTAGGACTAGCATATACATATACAAAATAATAATAATAGGGCTGGGATTGTGGCTTAGTGCTAGAGTGCTTGCCTAGCATGCATGAAGCCCTGGGTTTGATTCCTCAGCACCACACAGACAGAAGAAGCCAGAAGTGGCGCTGTGGCTCAAGTGGTAGAGTGCTAGCTTTGAGCAAAAGAAGCTCAGGGACAGTGCCCAGGCCCTAAATTCAAGCCCTAGGACTGGCAATCACTCAATCAATAAAATAGTAAGATAATAAATGAAAAAATAAAATTTACGTGGACTCACTCCTGTAATCCTAGCTACTCAGGAGGCTGAGAGCTGAGGATCAAGGTTCAAAGCCAACCCAGGCAGGAAAGTCCAAGAGACTCATCTCCAATTTACCAGAAAACTGGAAGTAGTGCTGCGGCTCAAGTGGTAGAGCGTTCGACTTGAGCTGAAGAGCTCAGAGACAGTGCCCAGGCCCAGAGTTCAAGCCCCATGACTATCAGCTGGGCACTGGCGGCTCACACTGGTAATACCAACTACTCAGGAGGCTGATCACCCATGCTCTGCTCAGCACATAGTGGGACCCTGATGAATGAATGACTGGCTAGATGATGAATGGACAATCAAGTAAGTCAATGAGTAAATCAGTGAATGAATGAATGAACTGATGAGTGAGGAAAGGGAGGGAGGGGAAGCAGAGAGGAAAAAAGAAAGACCAAGCCTGCCTTCCCTCCCCACCTTCCGGCTGCCTCCTTTGCAGTCACCCTCTTACCTCCATTGGAGAGCTGAGAAGGCCCAGTTTGGTCACAGGCTGCAGCCTTGCTGGTGGGAGCCCAGGGGCTGGCCTTCCCGGCCAGGCCACCCCCAGGCGCCTTCCCAGGAGCAGGGGCCTCCCAGGGCCGGCCTCGGGTCTCCCGAGCCACCTGCCTCACTTCCCCTGTCACAGTCGTGTCCCGGCGTGGGGGTGCCAGGGTGATGAAAACAGAGGAGGCGACCCTCTTCTCAGATTTGGAGGCCATGGCCGTGGCTCCTGCTAGGGGCAGAAAAGGGGTTCAGACTCCAGAAGGGCCCAGAGCCTCCCTCTTCCCATAACTTTTTTTTTTTTTTTTTTGTCGGTCATGGGGCTTGAACTCTGGGCCTGGGCGCTGTCCCTCAGCTCTTCAGCTCAAGGCCAGCACTCTACCACTTGAGCTACAGCGCCACTTCCGGTTTTCTGGTGGTTTATTGGAGATAGGAGTCTCACGGTCTCTCCTGCCCTGGCTGGCTTTGAACCGCGATCCTCAGATCTCAGCCTCTTGAGTAGCTAGGATTACAGGCGTGAGCCACCAGCGCCCGGCTCCCATAACTTTTTTTTTGTCAGTCATGGTGCTCAAACTCTGGGCCTGGGCACTGTCCCTCAGCTCTTCAGCTCAAGGCAAGTGCTCTATACTTGAACTACAGCATCACTTCCGGTTTTCTGGTGGTTAATTGGAGATAAGAGTATCTTGGACTTTCCTGCTTGGGCTGGCTTTGAACCTTGATCCTCAGATGTCAGCCTTCTGAGTAGCTAGGATTACAGGAGTGAGCCACCGGCAGCTGGCTCCTGAAAGAGATTCTTATCTCCTATTAGCCACCAAAAAAATGGAAGTGGAGCTGTTGCTCAAAGTGGTAGAATGCTAGCCTTGAGCCAAAGAGGTCTGGGAGAGTGCCCAGGCCCGGAGTTCAAGCCCCACAACTGACCAGAAAAAGAAGGGCTGGGAAGTTGGCTCAGTGGTAGAGCGCTTGCCTGGCATGCATGAGGCCCTGGGTTCAATTCCTTAGCACCACATAAGCAGAAAAAAGCCAGAAGTGGTGCTGTGGCTCAAATGGTAGAATGTTTGCCTTGAGCTGAAGAGCTGAAAGACAGCGCCCAGACCTTGAGTTCAGGCCCCACGACTGGCAAAAAAAAAAAAGAAAAGAAAAGAAGAAAACCAAGAAAAAAGGTTGGGAAGGAAACAGGCAGGTGCACAAAATCTTCCCTGACTCTCCTTCCCCACAGTCTGCACACTTAGGGAGCAAAGGAAAGCCCCTCCCTCCAAAGGACAGCGCCTCTGGCACCCAGCTACAGCACAGCTGACACTTGTCCCTGCACCAGACCCCTTCCACACCTGTGACTAGAAGCTCAGCTGTGGAAGGAAAGAGACCAAGAGTGGCAATTTCAGATCAGAGGGCCTAAGCTCCACCCAGGAAGCAGGGCAGGTAAAAACAAACAGGAAGACCTGCTCTGAATCTGCACCACCCTGTGTCCCCTGTGTCCTTGATGCTTACCTTGGAAATCTGCCTAGGGACTATCTCTGAGACTCAAGAGTGGTCAAATCATTTGTCCAGGGTCACACAGCAAGAGCTGACATGTGAACCCAGAGCTTGTGATCTTGTGGCCACTTGATTCTGCTTAGTCCTCTCTTTACCCAACTTACAAGCCAACATTTCTTTTGTTTGCCATCTATGCCAGAATCTCTCTTTGCCCCATCTCCAAACCCACCATGGCCCTGGTTCAGGGCCTAGGCCTTGTAGGCAGAAGGTAGCTAGATCATTTCTAATCCTGCCTCCAACCCTTCATCTTTCTAGAGCAGAATCTGATTTTCTCCTCTACTCAAAAGTCTTCCAACAGCCAGGTGCCAGTGACTCACTCTTGTAATCCTAGCTACTTAGGAGGATGGAATTTGAGGACTGAAGTTCAAAGCCAACAATAAAAGCTCAGGCAGGGACAGTGCCCAGGCCCTGAGTTCAAGGTCTGCTCCATGACTGGTAAAAAAAAAAAAAAAAAGAAAAGAAGTCTAGAAGTGGAGCTGTGGCTCAAGTGGAAGAGCTAGTCTTAAGCAAAAAAGCTAAGGGACAACATCCTGGCCCTGAGTTCAAGTACCAGTACTAGCACACATGCAAACACACACACACACACACACACACACACACACACACACACACACACACACACACACACGCGCGCTCCAAGATTCCTAGTCTCAGGATGAAAATCGCAGATCCTGCAGCTTCAACTTCTTTTGGGTTCTGGGGAAGCTGGGCAATTGTTCTCCCCTGAGCAACATCCCCCTTTCAGTAGTCCCCCCACGTTTTTCCTACCTGAACCATCTGCTCTTCCTTTCTGGCCTGCACAGGCAGAATTAACTTCAGCTATGCCTCTAAACCCGGCTCAATCCCCAACTCCAGGGAGCCTCCCACTTCAGGGTCTTACCCCAGATAGCTGTCTGCCACCACAGGGTGCTGTGTGTTCCCTCCATCCCATAACCTGGTCTGCTTTTGGTGTCTGCATTCTGGGTGCCCAAAGGTGGCTCACAGCAAGCCACATCAAAGCACAGGCAGCACCTTAAAGTGCTTTCCCAGACAGCAGCCACAGGGCACCTGAGGCTGAGGGGAGCAGGTTGGGGTAAACTGGCCACACCCTACCAGGTAACTTTACTAGGCACCCAACAATGGGGCCTAGGGCACTTCTTCCTATCTGGGCCACTTCAATGTGATGCTAAGTTCAAGCCCCAGGACTGGCACAAATAAAAAGGGGAAGAAAACAAATGCTGGACAAGGGCTGGGGGTGGAGTGGAACTGCAAAAGACCTCCATTCTGTGGGTGGGGGTGTAAATTAGTGCAGTCACTATGGAAAACAGTAAGGAGGGTCCTCAAAAAACTAAATGGAGCTGGGCACTGGTGGCTCACACCTGTAATCCTAGCTGTGGCTCAAGCGGTAGAGTGCTGGCCTTGAGCTGAAGAGCATAGGGAAAGCGTCCAAGGCCAGAGTTCAAGCCCCATGACCCACAACAACAACAACAAAAAGCTTACCATGTTGGACTGGAAGTATGGCTCAAATAGTAGAACACCAGCCCTGGGTGTGTACACACACACACACACACACACACACACACACACACACACACACACACCACCATGCCTCAAAATTCCCATGATCCTCTAATCATCTGAGATGAGGTCTTTTATGCCTCAAGTGTATTTCCAAGGCCATGCACGGCTTGGCATTCTACCAGAGCATCATGGTGGCAAGCCTAAGTTGGCTTGCTTTCGGTCCCAAGCCACCACAGGCCTCCCTAACTCCAAGGTCTGTTCTCATCCCAGCATGGTGCAACCCAGGCCCTTTCCTGGTGATGGGCATATTCCAGGGACCCCCCTCCCCACCCTGACCCCTACCCCATTCTTCCGGGAGTTACATCTGCCTGCTTTCCCAGAAACATCCAGAGGCCGAGCCAGATGTCTGCAGCTGGCACGTCCCTCCCTCTCCCTCCCTCCCTCCCCAGGGTCACTGAGGGGACCCCGGGCCCCAGGGGGAAGCGGCTGGGGGGGGGGGGGGCGGTTCAAAGCCCTGTCAAGCCCATCCGGGAAAGGCGGCCTTGCGCCTTCCTCTGTCCCCGTCCCCCCCAGCACCCGGGCGAGGAGCTCCGTGGGGAGGGTCCACGTGGGGCGGCCTCCCCCCGGCCTGCACGGGGACCCCACCCCCCCTCCCCCGGAGGCGAGCAGCGAGAGCGTCGGTGAGCGGAGAAAGTGGGAACAAAGGGAAGGAAAGTCATTTCCTGTCAAGAGGAAGGAAGGAGGCAGAGCTCCAGCGCGCCCGGGCCGGCTGGCGGGGGCGCCGGGGCGTGGGACGGGGCTGCGGGGGACCCCGGCCCCTCCCCGCCTCCCGCTCCCCCTCACCCCTCGGGCTCCGCTCCGGAGCCTAAGTTCGGGTCCGGAATAAACTTCGCCGGCGGGGGGTCCGCCCCCGGCGCGCCCGCTCGGGGTCCTGCGGCGGGCAGGGCTCCGGTCCCCGCGGGAGAGGCTGGGCGCGGGGGCACCGAGCCGGCCCCGGCCTCGCTGCGCCCAGGGCAGCGGGCAGCGCCGCCGTCCCCGCCCGTGACAGGCGCCGAGGGCGCGGAGCCCGGACCGCGCTCGCCCCGGCCCGGTGCGCACCTGGGACGGGACCCTCCCGCCCTCCCTGGCCTGGCGGGGAACGGCGCCTTTGTGCGGGACCCCGGCTGGTGCCCGCACCGAGCCTCCGACCTCCACCCCGGGACCGGGACCCGAGGGCTGAGACGGACGGACAGCAGCCACTCTGGGGTCTCCCGAGGTTGGGGTCCGGCCGAGGATACGGGGCGCTCGTCCAGATCCGTCACCGGGGTGCCGCCCGCCGGGGGCGCAAGGACGGGACCCTCCCTCCCTCCCGGGCCCGCAGCACCCCTTACCTGCGCCCGAGCTCCCGCGGCCGCGGCCGGACGCCGGGGCGGGGCGGGACGGAGCGGCCTCGGGCCTCCCCGCGCCCGCCCCCCGCTCCCCGCGCCCGCCCCCGGCCCGGCGCCCGCGCGCCTGACCATAAAAGGTGAGGCTCGGGGGAGGGGCCGCCCCCACCTGCCCGGCCGCGCCTCCCCGCCCCCTCCCTTTGTTCCCCGGCCCCCTCCTCCCCACTCAGTGCCCCCGAGTGGCCCCGCCCCCCCGGCCCTGGGTGGGCGACCGCGGCCCAGACCCTGGGACCAGGTGGTCACTCCCCGCCCCCCCAGCCTCGATGTCTGCGCTGGTAATCCGGGAGACACTGCCCACCTCGCCAGCCTGGCCTCGGAGGACGCAGTCGGTGGCTACATGATGGGCTCGGGCCTTCCTCAGGGGCGTCCGCCCGGGGGAGCAGATCTCCTTGACTTGCTGTCCTGGGCTGCCCCTGGGTCTGGACCCCCTTCGTCCCTCCGCAGGTGGGCCGGGCCGGCGGCCGCTCAGGTCGTTGGATTTGTCCCTAGGCCAGCCACTGACCCCTTCTCCGCCTCGCTCCGGCGTTCAGGAGGGCTCGGGTAGGGTAGGGGGAGTTTACTGGCCCCCCTCGCCACCTCTCCTCTGAGTCCTGGACTGCTGGGGAAGAGGGGAGGGAGAAGCGGGATGGGCCGGCCCGGATCCCTGGAGGCCAGAGAACATTGCTGGGAAAAGGGATCTGGGTCTGATTCAGAGGCAAACTGATCGTTCTTTTGATTAAAGCACAGTGGAGGAGGCCAGGGGAGCCCAGGGCCCAGCACCATTGCAGCCAGTCAACACCCCACCCCCCACCCCCAGCGAGGCTCTTGGGTTCTGGTGAGGGGCTCCGTGGTGTCCATGTGTCAATGGAGGGGTGCCTGGGCGCCGGCCCCCTCCTCCCTCTTCTCTAGGTCCCTCACCTCCTGACCTGCCAGGCCCTCCCTGGAGCACCTTGTCATAGCTTTTTGTATATGACCTTTGGCCTCTGCAGTGACAAAGGCAGTTGCTGCAGTGGCTGGGTTTCTAGAAGCTTGTGTGCCTGGTGCAGACCTCTCATTCAACCCCCCAGACTCCTCACACCAGGGTTGATTGCTCCTGCTTCTCAGGCAAGTGGACCCTGCCACTGGAGAGGCTCAGGCCCGGCTAGGGGTCAGAGGTTGAGCTGAATTCAAGCCAGCCATTGGGCATATTGCTCTGCTGGTCTGCAGGTCCCCCCTCCATGACTCAGAGTCCAGTGCTGAGTTGTCCACACAGCCTGTGCCCACTGCGCTGGGCATCTCAGCCTGGGAAGGCGGCCTCTGGCTCTGCCACAATATAGAAGAGACACACTGCCTCCGAAGGAGGAAGGAGGGAGCTTCTGAGGCACTGCCTGGGGTCACAGTCACAGTGGGTTTTCAGAACCCCAGAGGTTTGTCAGGTTGAAATGGAGCCACCCCCCACTCCCCAGATCTCCATATCCCAAGCTATACCTCACCGCAGAAAAGTTGACTTGGGGCTTCACCCAAGGTCAAAGCTGCTCAGGCTAAGACCCAGGCCTCCTGCTTCTGGCCTGGGCTGAGTCCAACTGGGAACAGCAGAGGGGAGTGTTGGGGTCCTCCTGAGACCACTCACCGGCTCTGCAGCACCCCTGGCCTCCGTCCTACCTGCTGCTCCAAATGGAAAGGACTGTCCTGGCCAAGGCTCCAGCACAGCCTGGGTGTCAGTGTCACTGATAGGCAGGTGCCAAACTTCCTGCAATGGAAACCCAGGAAGTGTGCTAGCTGAGAACACACGCCCTTTGTGTGCCAGCACTGAGGCCAAGCTCCCCTCCTACCCCCCTCCCTGCCCAGCTCAGCCCAGCTTTCTCCCCTTTCAGATGCCCCAGCAGGTAAAGGACTAGACTTCTACTGAGGCCATGTCAGCCAGACCCTGGGCAGCAGGGACTGGGAGGGAGGATTTGAGACATGATCCAGGGCCATGGAGGCCGTGTGCTGGCCACACCGCTATCCAGCACTGGCTGGACAGTTGAGGCAGGCGTCAGGGAGCCAATAGGAATTGAGCCAGACATCCTGTGGGAAATGGAACTGGGACGGGTGGAGACATTAAAAAAATAAGATTAGCCGGTGCCAGTAGCTCACGGCGCCTGTAATCCTAGCTACTCAGGAGGCTGAGATCTGAGGATCACGGTTCAAAGCCAGCCCGGGCAGGAAAGTCCATGAGACTCTTTTTTTTTTTTTTTTTTAACTTTGGAACTATAACCGTTTATTCATATTTTACAGATAGACAAATTGACAGACATGTTGGTACACACATGATGGAGCATGCTTAGATTTTAAAATCGGCCGTTTAAAGTTTTTGGAATTCTAGCAGTATTACTTTGCCTAATTATCATGGAACCACATGGTCAATTTAAAACACAAACCTTTGCCAACAACAAGAAACCTTTCAGTACACAGGAGACAAGACACAGGCATGTGGCATGGCATAATGGTGCCAGGGCTGGTCAGGTCAGGGGGGAGGGTCACAGAATCAAGTCTAGTTGGTGTGAAATTGAGTTGGCGCGAAACAGCAGCTGAGCTTCCATAATGCCAAGATGGTGCATCTGCCACATGGTCAATGCTGGGGTGAGACTGTTGTGCCAGGCCGCAGACCCCTAAAGACCACCAAAGAGCCGAATCCGATGCAAGCACACCAGAGCCATTTATTGCAAGCTTGAGCATGGACTCAACAATCGTCACCAAAGTAGCAGGTCAGAGTTGTGAGTCCGTGAGACTCTTATCTCCAATAAACCACTAGAAAACCAGAAGTGGTGTGGTGGCTTAAATAGTAGAGCGCTAGTCTTGAGCTGAAGAGCTGAGGGACAGCGCGCAGGCCCAGAGTTCAAGCCCCAAGACCGACAAAAAAAGAGTAAATGAAGGAAGGAAGAAAGAAAAGAAAGAAGGGGGGGGGAGAGAAGGAGAAAAGCCAGAGTGGAGCTGTGGTATAAGTGGTAGAATGCTAACCTTGAGCAAAATAAGTTCAGGGACAGTGTTCAGGCTCTGAGTTCAAGTCCCAGGACTGCCACAAAAACTAAAGAACCTAAAAAAAAAAAAAAAAGGACTGGGAAGGTGGCTCAAGTGGTAGAGCGCTAGCCTTGAGCTGAAGAGCCGAGGGACAGTGCCCAGGCCCAGAGTTCAGGCCCCACAAACGGACCAAAACAAAACAAAAACATAAACAAGGCCTGAAGTAACTTGCTCACAGTCATCCATTCGTGAGCTCCTCACACAGTCTGGCTCCAGGCCCCTGGACCTAGGAAACCAAGTTTTAGAGCAGTTATTGCTCAAGAGCCATGCTGGGAAAGTAAGGACAGTGTGTGGTATTGCGTGCCTGTAATCTTAGCAGGCAGGAGGATAGAGCGTTCAAACCCAGTCTGGGTAACATAGGAAGATCCAGTCTGTCTCGAAACAATAACAAAAAATAGATTAGAGGGCAATGACCCAACCATAGATCTAGCCACACCGAGTGCCCATTCCCAGGCCCCAAGTCTGTGTCCATCTGCCTCACTAGGCAGTGCCCTGGCTGTGACAACATGTCTACATGTTAATCCCCTCCTGGTTCCGGAGCCTAAGCCAGCCCTGACCAAGCCTGCTGGTTCCCACGGATCCCAGAGTGAGGGGTGAGGAGTGGGGGACGACCAGACCTTGTAGTCAGAGCTCCTTTGCCAAGTGAGGAGGCAACCCTCACTTGGAGGGACTCCAAGCCCTCAGTATTTTGCCTCTGTCCCCTCACAGATCCCAGCACCCTCCTTGAGCTCCTTCCCACTGGAAACCTCCTCTCTTGATAGTCTCACAGGCTTTCCTGCCTGGGCTGGCTTTGAACTGTGATCCTCAGATCTCAGCCTCCTCAGTAGCTAGGATTACAGGTGTGAGCCACTGCCACCTGGCTTCTTTTTACTAACTGGAGATGAATCTTGCAGATTCTAGCAGGCGTCTTCCAGCACCCTAATCCCCAAAGCCTCATTCTTTCAGCACAGGGGAAACTAGCCCCCAGTGGGTTCTGACCACCAAACTCCTGCCTAGTCCCCCGTGGGCTCACTGCGAAGTTAATAGAACTCACATGCTCGTGAGGCCTCTGGGAAAGCCAAGGTTATGGTTGTGGGGGTAGGGGAGGCAGGGAGGCCGGGTTCTACTCAGAAAACCTTTCCATTAGCCATTCCTGGCAAACGGCCCAGAAAGATGTCAGAAGAATGGACTCCAATCTGCACCTCTCCAATAATGAATTGCAATTCCCTTTCCTAAAGGAATGTGAGCTGTGGCTCAAGTGGTGGAATGCCTGCCTGGCAAACATAAGGCCCTAAGTTCAAATCCCAGTACAGCCAAGAAAAATGTGCTTTTTTCCTAAAGGGATTTCTTAGCATTTGATTTCGTCCCTACTCTGACTTCCCAATCAACTCTCCAGCCAGACTGTCTCCCTAGATCTGAAATCTTACCGCAGTGACAGCCTCGTACCTTATGAGGACCTTCAGCCCTGAACTCAAATGTGGGCAAGTTCCAAGCATCTCCTGAGGGCCCAGGCTTACCCCTTTGTTTAGTCCCCACTGGAGATGGTGGAGCCTGGTGACTTTCTTATAATACAGTGTGGCAAAAAACAAGGCTGTCAAGTGGGGTGTGCTGCTGGCTCTAGCTACACAGGAGACTGAGATCTAAGGATGAAGGCTCAAAGCCTGCCCAGGCAGAAAAATCTGCAGATTCATCTCCATTTAATTAGCAAAAAGAAGCCAGGGGGCAATGGCTCACACCTGTAATCCTAGCTATTCAGCAGGCTGAGATTTGAGGATTGTGGTTCAAAGCCAGCCCAGGCAGAAAGTCCGTGAGACTCTTATCTATAATTATTCACAGAAAAAGCTGGAAATGGCACTGTGGCTCAAGTGATAGAGTGCTAGCCTCAAGCAAAAGAGCACAACACCCAGACACAGAAGTTCAGGTAGAGGACCCAGGCCAGAGTTCAAGCCCCAGGACTGGCAAAAAAAAAAAAA